TGAATCTGAAAGAGGAGAATACATATTCTAATGTTTAGATACCAACATACAGAATCAAGGATCATGAAAAATTAAGTAAACATGATACCACCAAAGAAAACTAATAAAGCTCCAATAACTGACCCTAAAGAAATGTAGATCTGCCCTAACCGGTTTGGCTCAGTGGATAGAGCATTGGCCTGCGGACTCAAGGGTCCCAGGTTCAATTCCGGTCAAGGGCATGTACCTTGGTTGCGGGCACATCCCCAGTAGGGGGTGTGCAGGAGGCAGCTGATCGATGTTTCTCTCTCATTAATGTTTCTGGGTCTCTATCCCTCTCCCTTCCTCTCTGTAAAAAAATCAATAAAATATATTTTTTTAAAAAAGTTAAAAAAAATATATAGATCTATGAACTATCTGCCAACGAATTTAGGATACTATGCTTAAATAAGCTTAGTGAACTTTAAGAACACACAGAGAGACACTAAAAAAAATTAGGAAAACAATGCATGAACAAGACAAGAAGTTCAATAACAACAAAAATAAAAACCATAAAAAAAGATCCTCACACCTATTAGAATGACTACCATCAAAAAGACAAGTGGTAACAAATGCTGTCAAGGCTATGGGAAAAAGGGAACCCTGTGTACTCTTGGAGAGAATGTAACTTGGTATGATCACTATGAATAAGAGTATGGAAGTTCCTCAAAAAATTAAAAATAGAACTACCATGTAATATAGCAATTCTACTTCTGGCATATATCTAAAGAAAACAAAATCACTAGCTTGAAGAGATATCTGCACACACATGTTCACTGCAGCATTGTTTATAATAACTAAGACATGGAAAAAAAACCTAAATGTCCTTCAATGAATGAATAGACTTTAAAAAGTGGCACACACACCATGTAATACTATTCAGTCATAAAAAAAGAAAAATTTGCCATATGCAACAATATAAATCTATCTTGAGTGCATTATGCTAAGTGAAATAAGTCAGTCAGAGAAATACAAATACTATATGATCTCACTTATATATGAAATCTAAAAATAAATTATTCACAGAAACAGAGATAATATTTGTGGTTGCCATGAGTGGAGAGTGGAATGTGGGAGAATTAGTTAAGGTGATCTAAAGATACAAACTTCCAGTTATAAGATAAATAAGTACTGAATATGTAATTTACAACATGATACTATGGTTAACAATACTCTATTGTATATTTAAAATTTGCTAAAAAAGTAGATCTTAAAACAACATAGTCCCCATGTTGTTCAAAAGGCAACTGTATATGAAAAACTTTAAAAATAAAACACAGGGCATCAATATATAGATAAAATTATATTTGCTATAGCTTAATATATACAATTACAAGATTTCTTCAGATTTTCTGTTTACAAATGAAGATAGCTATATTAGTAGGATTTTTATTCTAATTGCATATTCACCTAGTACTATGTCCTTACATAGTACCAGCATAGTACTTTACATAGTATCTGTAGCACAAATAATCTTTAATTGAATATGGGAAGTTGAAGACAGTAGATATTTTACCATCCTTGAGCAAATACTATATTGTATGTTGATAACTTTTTATAATTTTTAGTTTTTCTTTTCTGAAATGATTAGTAATCAAAATTTATGATCTTCATGAAATTTTAAATTGGTAACAGTGGTGAGACAATTGAGTTTGATCTTTTGTGAGTACTAGATAATACATTGTGAGAATGTATAATTAATCTATTCAGATTATTTCCAGTACTTTAAAGGATATATTCTGCTAATATATTAGTTGAAGAAATTGTGTGAGCTTCTTCATTATATGATGAGTTACCTGCAGTTTCAAATTTAATTAAGTCAATCTAATTCCTGTAAAGTTTGCCCAAAAGCTAGGAGCAATTGATAGCAGCTGATAGCTTTGGGAGCTCTTCTGGTTTACATTGCACGTATGCTAACTAATTGGATAATTTTGGTATTTGCCTATAGTTTCAGAAGTGTTGTAACTAGGATTTTCAAATAGGCTGTTCATTACTCTCAGACCATATGTTGTATACATGGAACATAATGGACTAGCAATACGTTTGGGTACTCCTGGAGGTGTCAAGCAAGTTAATAAAATGCATTGATTTGGGCATAACTTCCAACTTATATATTGGAATTATATTTTGATCAAAGTTTTATCCACTTTACTACTCAAAAACCCCAGAAGCATTAAGAAAAGAAAACAAGCTCATTCATGTTTTGCTAAATTTTCTGTTTTAAGCATATTCCTTTCACTCTTATAAGTCAATGTCAGGAACCATATTTGTGTGTGGTTATTAAAGAAAGAAACATATTATCTGTATCAGAAAATCTAGCCATGTAAATATTATAGGACACATAAAATCAATGATTTTATCAAAGGGAAAATATTATAACCTGAGTGAAACAAATGGATTGAGATAATATATACATAATTCCAAAAAGGTCATTTTTAGGTCCACAGCGTATTTTTTCACCAATGTAGATTACATCATGTCAGGAAAACATACAATAATTATTAAATTTATTTGAGAGACTAACCACAGGAGTAAGTTCTTAGTAATTAAAGAAGTTGTAGATATATACCAAATATAAATTCATGTTCATGTACCCACTATTACACATGAGAATATCCATTGGGATATCAATAACAATGGCCAAAATATGAAAATAATCCAAATATACATCTAGTGGTAAAATGGAAAATGAAAATAAACTATAGAATATTCAAAAGTGAAATACTATATATTAGTATTAACTCATACTGAAGAGCTCTTCTAGTTAAAAGTGTGGTGATAAGCACATGGGTACAAAGAAATGTCAATAGAATAACATTGAAAATCCAAAAATAATTCGGGTCCATAAGGAAGTTTTTCATCTGATAAAGGTGGCAGCACATATCAGTGGCAAAAATTGACTTTTTAAAAAATAGGCTTAGGAAATGGAAAGCTATATGAAACAAAGAGATAAAGTTAAATTACTCACATGAAAATTTCAATATGGATCAGAAATCTAAATGTTAATCACAAGGCTATACAAATACTAAAAAGAACTAGGATTGCTCTGTAACCTGAGTATTAAGATAGGTTTACTTAGCTTGATTAAAAGAAATATAAATAACTAAAATAACTGCATGGTAAAAATATATATATTTATATATGTTTCAGAAAAAAATATTTGTAACAGACACCACACACACACACACATACACACACACACAATATCTTAATATAAAAATAATTTTAAAAATGGTGGAACAGCATGAAGTAAAAATCTTAGGGACAATGGACTTAGGCAAAAGAAATGAACAATCAACTCATTAAAAAAGAAACTGTAGTCCAGCCAGTGTGGCTCAGTGGTTGAGTGTCGACCCATGAATCAAGAGGTCGGCAGTTTGATTCCAGGTCACAGCACAAGCCTGAGTTGTGGGCTCAATCCCCAGTGGGAGGCCTGCAGGAGGCAGCCAATCAATGATTCTCTCTCATTAGTAATGTTTCTAGCTCTCTCTCCCTCTCCCTTCTTCTCTCTTTAGAATCAATAAAAATATATTTTTTAAAAAGAAACTGTAAAAAAAAGTCCACATAAATACTATTCAACTTCATTCATAATTGGAGACTCACAAATTCAACCTTTAAGCAAGAGAATTTGAAATTATCTAACAAACTATTAAATCACATATGTTTTTACTCTTTTTTATCTTTAATTTCTTTATTGGTTAGGGTATTAGAAATGTGTCCTCATCCCCCCATTAACCCCCAGACCCCCCCCACTCATGCTCTCATCCCCCTGATGTCCCTGTCTATTGGTTTGGCTTATATGCATGCATACGAGTCCTTTGGTTGATCTCTTCCCCTTACCCCCACCCTCCCCTGCCTTCCCTCTGAGGTTTGATAGTCTGATCACTGTTTCTCTGTCTTTGGGTCCTTGTTCATCAGTCTATATTGTTCTCTATATTCCACAAATGAGTGAGATCATGTGGTATTTATCTTTCTCTGACTGGCTTATTTCACTTAGCATAATGCTCTCCAGTTCCATCCACGCTGTTGCAAATGGCAAGAGTTCCTTCTTTTTTACCGCAATGTAGTATTCCATTGTATAGATGTACCACTGTTTTTTAATCCACTCATCTGCTGATGGGCACTTAGGCTGTTTCCAAATCTTAGCTATGGTGAATTGAGCTTATGCTTTTACTCTTTAAATGAGAGATATCCTTTCAAAATATTTACCCCAAAGATATTTTAATTATACAAAAATACATATGCACAAAGTATTCCATTACAATGATATTTATAATGGAGAAATATTGAAAATAACCTAAGTTCTCACACATGAAAAATTGTTTGAAAATACTTGGTTTGGCTATGAAATTGATCACTATGTATGTGTAAAAAGAGAGGGAGATCTTCATGAAGCAAAATGGAGGGATTTCTAGGATTTATTAACAAGAAAAATACAACTGAATATAAGTTTATATTTATATATAAAATGATGAGGTTTTGTTAAAATGAAGAAAAATGAGAAAATATACAGCATTTACTTATTTTTCCAAATGGAAACACAAGAAGGGCAAACAAGAAACTAATGACAGGGTATATAAATGCTATTTGTGCTTTTCTTGCAACTGTCCTGTGAATTTGAAACTATAAAAAAATAAGACTTGAAATAGATGTAGCTGGAAAATTCAGAAAAGCAGAGTGGAATTTTTTCCCACTATCAGTGCTGAGAAGACAAAAATACCCTCACTTCAGGAATCTCTTAAATAGAATATTTTTCATTTCTTTAGAACAGCAAACAGTTCTTAAAAGTAGTTTTTCCTCCCACATATTGCCTAGTGTATACTATAAATAATAGTTAAATCTAGTATATACTATAAATAATAGAAAAAAAGAATGTTAATCATAGTCAGATTAAATATAGACTGATACATCTAACAGTTTTAATTTATACATTTTTTTTCTTTCAGAGTTCAGCTTTATATTGAACATGTTACAAAAGAAGTTTAGTCAAAAAGACCAATGCCTATGTCATCATCAGACTCCTCAGATTCTTCTTTTTTTGCTTCCACTTTCTTCTCCTCAGCTGGGGCAGCAGTAGTGGAGGGGGAAGGATCTCTTGCTGGTGCAGCACAAGTTGCAGGCGCAGGTCCACCAGCCCCTACATTGCAGTTGAGACACTCAATGTTGACATTGGCGAGAGCCTTTGCAAACAAACCTGGCCAGAGAGGTTCAACCTTTACACCAACTGCTTTAATGAGGGCATTGATCTTATGCTCCATCTCCATCACTTCATCATCGTTCAGAATAAGGGCCGAGTAGATGCAGGTGAGCTCCAAGATGGAGGCCATGGTGAGGGCGAGCTCTGGGCGAGCGCTGCCAGGAGCAGTGTTAGTCACCCGATGAAGGGAGGGCCTCACCCCACCGCTGCCTTAGCATCCTTGGAAGAACTGAGCACCTTACCAGCAGCTGGAGAAAACTAGTTTCCACAGTTTTATTCCAGTTGTTTGCCTCAAGAGCTTTTGGCTTTAAAAATATTAAACTATATGTAATTAATGTCATTTTTCATTCTATCCTATATAATAAAAGACTAATATGCAAATAGACTGAATGGCAGAACAACCAAACAACTGAACAACCAGTTGTTATGACGCAAGCTGACAACTAGAAGGTATGCACGGAACATGGTGGGCGTGGGCAGCAAGCGGCAGAGCGTGGAACATGGCGAGCATCAGCCATGGCGGGATGGTGGACCAGGTGAGTGGGGGCGCCAGACAGAGGCAGGGTGACAGTTGCTGTCATTGGGCGAGCCTCTGGTGGTTACTAACAATTCTTTGCTCCCATGTGCCACAGTCCTGCCCACTGCTCGCACCTGCTGCCGGCACCTGCCCCACTCGCACCTGCTACTGGTGCCTGGCACTGGTGCTGATCGCTTGGCACCGTCAGCGGATGTGAGAGGCAGCTGCCAGTCCCAATATCCCCTGAGGGCTTCTCCACCTTTCCCTGCTCCTGAGGGGCAACTAGGGCAGCAGCCACCACTCGCATCCACTGACAGCACAGGCCCCACTCGCACCTGCTGCTGGCGCTGGCCCCAATTACTCAGCGCCATCAGCAGGTGTGAGCGGGGCTGGCTCCATCAACATGTGGGGGCAGTGGTGGTGGGAGGGCCTAGGCGGAGCCACAGAGGATGGGCCGAGACCCCCCCCCCCACCGTGCCCATCACAGCCTTGCAGCCCACAGTTCCTTTCAAGGTGCACGGATTCATGCACTGGGCCCCTAGTATTTATATAAAATACTGTCCAAATCATAATAACTTCTAAAATCAAAGTCAATATTAACAAAGTTTTCTTATATTTGAAAAATATATTTTTATATTAATAATACACAAAAGACATTTTAAAGCAATTTTTGTCTACATTATCTAACAGTAAGCCTAAGGCAAGTACATAGTGTGGTCACTAGATGGTTCTTCTGATCAATGAGTTTTAGCTAAGTAAATAAAGCATAAATGTGGACAATCAAATGAGGATGTAAAGCTCTCTTTTTGGGTGAAAAGCTGGAATATAAGATATATTAAATACTGATGGTTACTGCTTAAGAAAAGCTATTTATTTCTTTATTTTAAAGACAAAATTCCATTTCAAAAAGATAAAATTATTTTAGGTATAAAGTAAGAAATTTGGAACATAAGTAAATTCAATGCTAGCATTACTGTTGAAATACACTACCAAGATAGTGCCATATATAGGAAAGGCTATTAGATTATGAGCAAGAAAAACTAATTTTCGCATTCTGCTTTCAGCACACTTGAACCTTTCTCATGAATGTTCTGCACCCTCTGCAAGAAGGGTGCTGGGCAGTTGAGTAGTCTGCCGTGATGTTTTTAGCAAATTAGACAGCACCACTGCCTTTCAGCACTAGATTTGAGAGGAAACAAGACAGGCTGGGAAACCAGTGCAAAGCCTGCTGGAATTACTGGCATATGATAGATGGATCTAAATACAGGGTGGGGCAAAAGTAGATCTACGGTTCTAAGTATGCAAAACACAGTTTATTCTTATATTTTTAAATTAATTATTGTATTATTTTCTATACAAACAACCATAAACATACTTTAGCCCCAAGCTGTATTGTCTATTCTAAAGTCTAACCATAGGAAAGATTATCTAGCTGGGATTTCACATGAGTATCAGATCCACTGAACTCAAGGGGATGGGGATTAGGCATCAGATATCTCCCCCACAGGAAACAATGTAAACTGACAACCAAACACTTGCTCAAATTTTTTATTTCAGATCTTTTATTAATAGAATCTGCAAAAATGATTCTCCAATATCATACTACCTGAATCAGATTCACCAATTTACTTATTAAAATTTATTCTCCTGCTCTCCTTTCTCATCTATGGAATACATCTTAAGGTGGGGTTCCACAAACTGAAGTTTTTCAACATACCCCAGGTGACATATAGATGCTAAAATTTTGAAACCACTGCAGTATATATGCTCTACAGGCCACAAGGGGATTCTTGCCTTGGGAATTGATGGTAATTCCTAAAAGTTAAATCCTTTTTCAAAAACCGTATATATAACTCTTAACAAATTGACACTCTGGATGAGAATAAAAAAATTTAAACGTAAAATAATTCAATGTGAATAAAAATGATAAGTTGAAAGTTGAAAGGAAACAACAAAGAAGCTATAGAAAAAGAAAGAGTAAGAACATGTCTATTTACTAGAGTACTTCATTATTTCAAGTTTCTAAGTACAAGACAATGGAAATGAAAGGGTAATTCTATAACTGATTGTATGTACTAGCGGTAGCTTAAGAGAAACACATGATTTCATAAAATTGCTTACTCTCATGTTGTCTTTGTCAACTCTTTGAATTGGCACTTACAATGCACTAAACTTATTGGAAGGCACAATTAAAGACTCCAGATGTGATTTTGATTTAGCCCGAGAAAAGAAATTTTGAGATACTGATGATGAATGCCAATTTATTACATTCTGCTCAAATGTTGGCAGTAACATGAGTGAAACCCACACAGTGTTATTGTAACACATTAATTATTTTCTTTTACTTGACTCAATTATGTACAGACTTGAAATTAATAGATTTCTCCAGATAACAACAGAGAACTTTGCTAAATACATGTGTGTGTTTTTTTCTGAGCCAGATACATACACCTAGAATAAATTACTGATGCCAATTGATTTTTTTTTAAAAAATCTGGGAACAATGAACATGGTAATATTTGGGGTCCAGTTTTTTGTTATTGTTGTTGTTGTAAAGTAACCTAAATTAAGTGTTACAAGTAAACAGGAATTTCTATAAATATTTTCAAAATTAGGAAATGCTCTTAATCCTTGAAATTAAAGATAAATATCTCAAAAAATAAATACTTTATATTATGGGTTCTTAACCTGTTTTTTTTTTTTCTGTTTTGAATATTGGGCATCTGACACTTCGTACAATAAATCCAGTGAGATTGGTGGTACACAAACGTGAGTACATTGGCTTAGCCAGATTTGAGTTGCCGCTTCATAGCTGTAAAATCTTCAGCAGCAAACTTTGGTATTTTCACCTGTTAATCAAAATAATGCCCTCTTACAGTGTGTTTATCATGATTAAAATGTACATTGTAAATAAACTGTTGCTCTGAGTTTTATATGTTTACTAAGCAACCAATTAAATTTGATTAATATGATGAAGATAGTTAATATTAAAATAATAAAGATGAAACCAAAGTGCTGTGATCGGATCCGGGTTCCTTGTCTCGCAAAATGGAAAAATGAGTTCACAGACAAAGACAGGAAGCATAAATAAAGTTTACTGAGAGACAGATGGACTCCTGCAGCAGGCAGGCAGAGGACCCAAAGTGGGTTTTCAGTGTGAAGCTTCTCTGTTTCAGGTTCCAAAGTCCCAGGCTCCTTAAGCCAGTCTTGGGAAAGGTGCAGCTGGGGTTCCAGGAGAGCCAAAAGCAGGCCAGTGTTCAGAGCTTCCATTCCAAGTCGCAGCTGGGTGTAGATCACATCCAAGCTAATTCAAGTCCATTAGTCCATGTGCGGCGTTCCATACGGCCATAAGCCATGTGGGTGCAGGGGAGCATATTCCCTGCCATAGGAGAGCCAGGAACCCAGTGCACCGGGGAAAGAAGAGAGTGCAATTCTTTGTCTAGGGGTAGATATACTGGTATGCTTTGCTAGCTCCTCAAAGAATTCTCCTTAGCAACATCCATACATTTTAAAACTCATGTTTTTCATACGCGCTTCCTGCCCAGCTGGGTTGCCCTAGCAACTCCTACCTAGCTGGGTTTAGTCCAAGGTAACTTTGTTGCTCTCTGTGGTTTCTCTCCCAACAGGGCACAGTCAGAAAGCTGCATCCTGATCATTCTGCAAGGTCCTGTTATTCTAGAACTTCCCTATTCTTCTCCTGCTCCCAAGGTCCTGTCCCTGACTGCCGAGCCCTCTTCTATCTCCTCAGAACCACATTGAATTTTAATTCATTTATAGGAACTTAGAGAATCAAAAAGGGAAAGTAACTTTGAAAATGACCTAGCTATGGTAAACCTAAGACAAGCTTAAAGAGAAGGCAACAAAGCAATGGAAGTACTGCAGCGACAAAGTCAAGTGAGAATAAACTACTAAGGATCTTAATATTTAAAAATCCCTAGGTTCAAATGTTCTGATATTTCTGTTAACACATTAGCGGGCAAGTTATTGCCATGTTGAAAGCAAATCATGTGCCAATATCCTATGCATTGCTCCATGACAATACAGAATGAGAGTATTCAATATCTCTTTTGAAGAATTTTAATTAAAGTATTGGAAATGGAGGTGATAGAATCCTGATTTTCAATTACAATTTTGATTTTTGCTCTGGCTGGGTGGCTCAGTTGGTCAGACATTGTCCCATAAACCAATATGCTGTGGATTTGGTTTGATTCCCAGTCAGGACACATACCTAGGTTGTGGGTTTGATCACCAGTTTGGGGCCCTACTGGAGGCAACCAATCTATGTATCTCTCTCACATAGATGTTTCTCTCTCTTTCTCTCTCTCCCCCTATTTTTCCTTCTCCCTTTCTCTCTCTCCTGAATCAATGGAAAAAATAAACACAAATACATCTCCTCAGTGAGGATTAAATAAAATATTTTTCTTTGATTCTTTGAGACTTACAGAGTCAGAAAAGTATCCGATATGTATTAATATTTGCTGCTGTAACACATAACCCCCTAGCTAGTCTCCATTCTTCAACACATACAATTTTGTTTCTTGCTCTATAAAATCCAACTTGCAGTGTTGAAGTGGGGGTTCCACATGGTCATTCAGGAATTCAGGCTGATGAAG